AGTCGAAAAAGAAAAAGATAGAAAAAAGTATCAGATTTTCTATACTTTGAAAGTATTTTGTAAAACTTCTGATTTTTTAAAGGCATCGAAAATAGATAAGATAAAATGATTGTATAAACTCGATTAAATATTGAAATATAATAATCCTAATATATAGATCTAAATGAAAATCTGATTTTAATTAATTTTATTTAGAAAAATATTAAAGGCAAAAAACCTTATTCAAAACAATAATAATCCTATATTAGAGTTTGAATCAGATAATTCTGAAACAGATTTTAAGGGTTGGAAAATCAATATTGATAAGAAAAAGAAAGAGGAAGAGGAGAAATCTGATAATAAAGAAAAGAACAATAAAGTTAAAAAGCTTAAAAAGATTAATTTGAAAGATTTGAATATTAATCAAGAATTAAAATAAATATAAAGATATAATATTTATTGGTTTTATAAATATTAATATATAAATTTAGGTAATTGGACTTTCTGAAATTTTGATTTGGATTAGAGCTTGGAAAATTAGTGTAAAATAGTTTATAATTAATTTAAAAAATCTAAATGAAAAAATTGATAAAGAATCTTCGGATTTTTTATAAATAAAAGATTCGTTTGGATAGGTTTATTTTGATTTTTTTTTATTAATTATTTCTCTTTAGTTATTTCTTATTTATTATTTTTTACTTATTATTATATCAAATTATTAATAGATTAATAGAATATATTTGTATTTTAATAAACTTTTTTATAAAATATTCAATTATCAATAATATATTGTTTAAAGAAATCTTACTTTTTGAAGTTTTGATATTTTGAAGCTAAAAGGAGAAATGATATCAAGCTTTCTGGATTTAAAGAATAGTGAATTTTTAATAAAAGCTATAATCTAAAAAGATATAGATTTTGGATTCTAAAAATAGGGTGAAATATAAGTAAGCTTGAAATCTACTCTATTATATAGAATGAAAAGAAGATTTCTTTTAACTCTTTAAAGAATTCAAAGAAATATTAGAGTTATAATAGAAGATAATAATAAATGAAGAAACCCTGATAATTACTTTTTATTCTAATTATATATACTTATTAAATTCTATTTCAATATAGTATTGCTTTTCTTTCTCTTATACTTTTCGAATTCTTTTTACCTTACAATAATCTCTCTATATAGCCTTTGTAATTCCTTATTAAAAATAGTTTATAAATTATAACAAAATAGAATCTAATTTGTTACTATTTGAATTTATTATTATATCATCCATAATATTTAAAACACAATCAATAATATAATCAAATTGAATTTTGAATAAATCTTCTTTAAAGCTATTTTGTTGAATAAAGTTATATAAAATATACAAAGCATAAATTATACATATTTAAATTGTATATAAGTATTTTTATTATTATATTAAAAATGAAAAGTGCATTTTGAATATTCCAAAAATTTTCTTAATCTCATTTTGTAAAAAAGAATATTGAAGGTTAAAAAGTTCTTTTAATATTTTGAATATTTTATTGAATTCCAATTATTCTTATAAATAATATCTTACCCTTTTGAATGGAATAAGAATCTGCTTAGTATTTATATATCCTATATTACCTAAATAATAATAACCTTCTGGAATTCGTAAATCTTTTGAAATCAAAGTATCTGAAAGCACCTTTTGATTATTTGCAAAACCTTTCTAATCGACTAATATATAACAGAATTGTAAATTGAAAGTAATTACTATAAAAACATTTTATATAATATATTCTTTTCGATTAAAATAAGCAGATCGATTTTCGAAAGATATTGTTGCTGGAATAAAGGTGCTATCAAGAGCTCCTAGGCAATTTGCAAAATATATATAATATTTTTCATTTTCTATTATTTGAAAAAGAGCGAATTGTATAGTTAGATCCGGTAGCTTTACTACTAATAGGTATAATATTATTATAATATCTAAAACTTAATAAAACTATTTTAAAGTATATTAGAATAAATTAATAAATAGATTTATATAAGGTGTTTTTTGTATCTATAAATTGTTTTTTTAGAATGAGAAAAGGCTTCAGCTGTATTATGTATAGTTCCATGCTAGTTTACAATATAAAGAAATACATATAGCTTTTGATCAATTGAAGTATATTGAAAATGTTATAGCTTTGTTTTTTCGTAACAAAATTCGATCAAAAGTCAAAAAGTATATAAAGGTATACACAATTGTTCTTAACAATATTAAAAGTGTTTAGAATCAAAAAGAGATTGTATTTTAAATTCACTAAAAGTACCAATTCTTTTTTTCGAAATTGAAGTACAATAAAAAAAGCCAATAACAGCAGTTAAATTATAAATCAAAATAGGAATAAATTATTCAGAATTATTAACCTCATCATCACTCATTGTGAATAAAAAAAAGGCAGTTTATAATCTAAATTATTAATAGAATCTAAAGCTATAATAAAAAGAATATTGAAGAATCTATTTTTAAACTAAATTATATATATTCTAGTATATAGGGAATAGAAATGTAAAGTAATCTAAATCGAAATCAAAAACAATTTGAAGAAAAATAAAGATACCCTATAAATTTAGATATTTAAAGCACTAATATCATTATAATACTATATAAATATAGAATGAAAGACCTATAAAAGCCTATAAAAACACGGATTATTTATCAGATTGAAAACAAGAATTGCTTTTTCTAATTCTCGTTTTCAATTTGCACCCTTGTTTTTCTATACAAATTTAATAAAAAACGTAGATTATTTAATATCATTTTAAAGTAATCTATCTCCTCCCCACCTTGAAATATATTAAATTCATTGAAATGCGGATTATTTGATGGAATTTGTAATTTGATATTCAAATATAAATTCAAAATCTGTTTTCAAAAAGAGCAGAATATTTAGCAGATCCAATGCAGATTTGTACATCCAAACTAGCCCTTAAACTGCTTTCCTATCTCTTTTAGCTGAGACTAGTAATAGAGTTGCAATCCTACAGAATTCGGTATTCTAATCATCATACCAGAGCCATAAAGTCTTGTAGTTCACAGGCATGGTATTTTTAAGCTATACTGATACATGTTCGAGACGTTGTGTCTGAAATTTGCATTCTGTGCAGAAATAATCAAAACAGATAGAACTTTGAACCTCTGTCGCTCTCCTCCCCAAATTCCTCTCCATTTTCTAAACTCCATTCCAACGATCTTAATTCGAATCGATAACAAGCCAAGGGATATAACATGTTTTTTTCCCATTTCTGACAGTCGAAATGAAAGGTGTGGATACATCCAGAATCTTCACACCTTGTGGATGCCAAGTTTGCGGATTCTCATGATTGCACCAATCCTTTGTCGATACCGATTCAATCAGAATATTTGTGAATGTTACCGCTCCGGAACCCCAGCCAGGGTCGATGCCATTACCAAGTCCCACATGCTCAAGTGTTAGCAAGGCCTATACAATCAACATCAGTTAAGGTTTCGAAGCTTGGATCTAAAAGTGCAGTTACCTCTGTCATGCCTGGGACTTTGGGTTCTGATAGATTATTAGCACTAATTACGGGCAGTTGGAAGATTGGAAACATACCAAATTTGGAGCCATCGAAAGTGTAGTTCCCACCATATGATACTTCTCCTTTTGATGCACCGATTCGACCGGGCATGACTGACCATGTATCGAGCCATTTATTGGAGAGTTCATCAAGAGTCCAGAGACTTGTTATTTGATCACCTGGATAGACTATTTGTTGAAATATTAGTCTTCATCGTGACCAATCTAAGTATGCATATCTGTTATCCTTCTCCACTCTCCTCAACCCCTCAGTAACAGAAGAAAAAATAACCTACCCTTCGGTTGTCTCTTCTCAAAATAAATCTCCGTCCAACTAGGCTTCGTCGCCCCGTGATAAAAACTAGGTATATGACTCCAAAGCCCCACCTGACCCCCCGCATTCCCAACAACATTTTGCAGAACGCAACTTTGATCTGCGGGTTGCATGCCTGCCCAGGTTGCCTGGATCTTCCAATCTGGGCTATGGCCTTGTAGCGCTGTTGGTGGGGAGGGTACTTGGAGGGTTGCTTGAAACTATTAAAGGGTAAGATATTAGTGGAAGCACTAAAGGACAACAATTCGGAAGAGGGGAAGGAATATTGATCGCTGGGAAAGGAGAAGGAATAGATACCCGTGTTATTTTCCCGCCATATGTGAAGATGAATACCGCGCTTGCGCCTGTATGGTCGATGAGAGTAAGGATAAGTAAAAGAAAAAGAAGAGGAGCAAGAATGGAAAACATAATGATAAGAATGAATAGATAAAAAGCAATACGGATAAACCAGATCACAAATCGAAGATGAATTCCAACGTTCCTTGCTTGATTAGAACTAACAATAGAGGATATCTAATAGTCTTTGTGAGGTAGAGATCGGAGGTTGGTCTTGCAGTCGAAATATCGCAAATATTCCAACAAGAGTTTGTCAACAAGCGAACAAAAGTGCTTCTACGAAAATCGTATAATCGACCCCCAGCAAAACTCGCATGAATGTACCATGCCATCAGCAGCATCTCAGTGACTCATCCCTGAGATATTTTCCCCACCTGTTATGCTACTTGACCAATGTTATGAATGGGCTTGAGATGTCAGATCGGTACCCCTTCGAGGCTACCAAGCCCCCCAGATATTGTTCTGAACAGCACCATGCCAATTTCAAACCATATCTAGCGGCTGAATCTGATTGAATCATTACGGACGGTTAAAACTGTCAAATTGTGATTACTCTAGGTAGTGATTTTGGAAAATAGTTAATAGATATCGTTTGTCGGGGACCGATAGCAGCATGTATTTAACTACACTGTCAATATATCATCTATCTCCCTTCAATTTCCATATGTTCATATCATGACCAATAAACCAGAACTTCCCATATGCCCACACCCCAAAGCGAACATCTCACCGAACAGCATCCATCGAGATAACCCCCATTGCGCCTCCCGAGTCCCATCCTCACTATCTCCAACCTCTACGCCGAAACCGTAGAATCCATAACAGTAAACCCCTTAAAAAAGCAAGTCATGCCTGTAATTGCCGGAAACACTCTAACAGCTTCTATGTTACTAAGAGTAACATTGCTGAGTATAAGTTTATCAACACTACACCAATCCGTATTTGTTGTGCGTTCGATTTGAATTAGGACATTTTTCCAATTTAGAGGACCCATTTCCCACTTTGCGGCGCGGTTGAGTTCGGTTGCGAGGATAGCCTGAGGAGCGTTAGTTGATTTTGTGAACAGGTCAAGTTGAAATGAAAGAAAGAAAGTAAGAGGGTCGATATAAATGCTACGCACTTGTGTAAAGTCTCCTATGTCGGCTGATCGTTCCGTGTTAGTCAAAGCATACCCACACTATTTTCGACCAAAGAAGAACCAACTCACGATATGGTGAAAGATCGACTGTTTGATTTCCCATAAAATTTATTTCCCCATTCGCCAGTCCCTCCGCACCTCTTCTAACGCTCCACTCAACAAACCATTTATAAGACTTTGTCGGACCTTTCCACTGCTCAGATGAATCCATCGAGATAAACCCATTCGAGATCAGATCTCCCGGATAAACATTAATATTCTTCCCATGAATCCTTTCACCTCCAGCTGATGCATTTCCAAGCTGGAAATACTCAAAAAACGACCATCGGCCGAGCGTATTTCCTCCATTGGCGTATACAATTTGTAAAATGGAATTGCTGTTTGCAGGCTCGATTGCGGGCCAGAATGATTGGATTCCAGTGGCTTGGAGGACTGTTGGTACTTTGGGTACAATTACTGTGGCTCGGAACTAAAGGGCCAAGTTTAGTTTGCAGAGTTTGACCGGAATTCTAGGTGAAGCTTACTTGAGCAATTTTAGCATAGGGCTCAAAAAAAAACCGCGCCAGTCGCCACGAGATGGAATCTGCCAAAGAAGAGAAGAATACCGGCGAAGACGCTGAGATCAAGAGGACGCATTTTGCAGGAAGACGCTGATTAACTTGATAATGGGTGTGTTTCAATCGGTGTATTAAAATAAAGGAAAGCCAGAGGTAGGTAGATTATCAGAAAAGGCAGGATTGTTAAGGATTACTGTAAATAGCTCGGGTTTCTAAGATACACAGTTAATCGATGGACAAAAGCAACATCCCACACGCATCATTCACTGGACCAGACGGAGATAATGAGACACATAATCTGCAACGACAAACCACTGGCTCACGGGGAAATAGATGAAGATGTATAGCTGACGTAGCAAGTATCGATAGTATATTGAGCTGCTGTTCACCATTATAGCTCGGGAGTTCTAATCGCGTCTAAGAATATATAACATGTCGAAAAGATTCAGTGTACAAAACAAATTCAGGACACGAAACGATCTTTGTTGGATTGCGATTCATACTAACCTGGGAATTATAGCTAGTCTCAAAATCTCTTAACGAAGTGATATATCTCAATATATAGCAAGACAACCTTCGCGACTCAGGCATCAGTCTTCTCTCCCACCAAAGCCTCAAAATCAACATCACCCTGAGCATTGAATCTCCACTTGACATTTTCCCAACCTTTTCTTCTCTTCATGTTGACTTCAACATCATTTTTAGGTTTCCTAACCGCCGTGCCCAGCTTTTGAAACGCTCTATCCGGCACACTTGAACCGTAGATATCAAATCCCATAATAATAGCAGCAACAAGTGAAAGGATTTCAGTTGTGGCAAAATGTCGTCCTGGGCATAAATGCTTTCCACCACCAAAGGGAAAGTACCCCTGTGTTTGCAGTTTCTTCTGTTCTTTTCCTAGTTTTGCAATGGTACTTGGTAGGAATCGAAACGGATTGAATGAATTAACGTCTGGCCCCCAGATTGATGGCGAATTGTGAGTGACGCCAGAAGGGAGTTGTATGACGTTTCCAGCTTTAAGCAAAAACGACGATTGAGAGGTTGATGATGTGAGGATTACATCTTGGGCGATGGATCGGACAGATGTTGCCGCATCAGCGAAACGAAGCGTCTCACGAAAGCACGACATTAATATAGGACAACGGGATTGGAACAGAGTAATGTCCATGACACATTCTTCTATTCCATCCTCATCTATATTTTTCGATATGATATTGGAGATCTCGGTCTGAATGGAAGATATCAAAGCCGGATCTGAAAGAACGTTAACAAGTAACCAAAAACATGTTGGTGCTGAATTGGTTGTCGCGAGGAAAAGCGTAGAGATTTCGATGTTCGCAATCTCCTCGGCCGTGAGACCCCATTTCTGGGAGCACTCTAATCGTGATTTGATGAGTGTACTGGCGGACATATGATGCGATGAAGCATAGTAGGATGCAAAGGCAGTTTTGATGGCTCTACGGCCATGATAAGCTTTCGGGCAAATAAATGTAGGAAGAAATTCAAGCATAAGCATTGTCATGTTTTCCTCGAAGTCCCTGGCAAGATCAGCACTGACTTACAAGTCTGGGGGCAGGGTGTCCAATAGTCCGAATGAATAGATCAAAAATTAGATATCCCAAGTTCATCTGGTATTGCAATACACATGAAAGCACATAATGAATAGAATATAGGGAATTTATTCGACACATAGAAATGATTCAGTACGGACAATTGGACCCTGGCTGGGGATGTTATTGCTAACCAGAGAGAATCTATGAGGCTGTGATTAGCACTCACGGGATCGTGTGGCCCGTAAAGAGATGCAGAAGTAGCCAACGTAAGGGTATCTCTAATCCATTTATAGAGGGATACTATCCCAGAGTTCTGATCAAGCTGGTTGAGGATATCAGCAACAGCACTCAGAACTCCTTTGTTCAATTCTAGCAGACTCCCACTGGGTCCTAAGTATTCTACCATCAATCCATGATTCTCGTTCAGGTACGATGTCCCGTTATTCCCATTTAAAAACGGCCCTTTCGGGTCATAATCTGGTGAAGTTTCCCCGCGGATTATTTTCATTCCATGCTCGCCAATATTGAACGCACGTTTCGAAGAATCAACAACAAATGTAGTAAAATCAAACGCTTTCGTGTTTCGATATGCAGCTTGAATTAGCGAAGGTTCGCAGATAACGTAGATACGTGCGGCGAATATCTTAAGCGTGAAGACCGAATAAAGAGGGTGCTTGGAACTGTAATGGAGATAAATGGTAAGTGAATGTTCATCGAAGGGGGTGGATAGCTTCGTGTAGAGATCAAAGGGCCAAGTAGCAACTTTCTCGAGAGTACCCCGCAGGCCCTTTGATGTAGTTGCGCTAATCTCATACCTTAACGTCTGGAAGTAGCCAACTTGTCCCTTCAGCATACCGATCAAATGCCCAAATAGTGGAATCCTTGATTTGACCTCAGGAGGTTCAGTCCCTTTTGTGCCCTCCTCGTCCTTGCGGCCAGGCCTGCTAAACAATATCGCTAGCCCAATACCTAAGATCAAGGTAATTGTAATTAGAAGCCCATTGACGTTGTAATCCTGCAACCTCAAAAACGAAGGAAACATTGTCACCGCAGAAGCATTGTTAAACACCATGGTAAAGGCTCAAGATGAACACAACGCGAAATCTGAAATCTTGAATGCATCTAATGAAAGAGAGGTAAAGTACCGAACCAACAACCAAAGAAGCTAAGGGAACATCGCTCGTAGCAGCACCTACAATCACCTACTCCGTACAGTATTGAGGACGATCAAAGCGGAGCATCTTCTCAGTGGGTCGCGGAAACACTTGAAGCCGGAGAAGTTAGTTTCAGGTCTTCAAGTTATTTGCAAGCTTAGGACTGGTGGACTAGAGGAGCTCGACCATCTCTTATTTGGTTCGCATTGGCCTAATCCGATGGAACCCCTATAGTCCAATGAAATGAAAGGGTTCAATGAGCAACTAAAATCCTTAAAGACTTTCCACTCTTGTTCAACCATTTGATAAAGGAGGCTCAGGACTTATTAGAAGGTTTGACGAAGTTGAAGGAGCGACAGAGCCGAGAGAGCTTCAATTAATGAAGTCAGTGCTGACTCGGGAGCTCCACCACACCTGCAATGATATAAGTGTGGCTGGGCAACATGGATTTGAGCCACTGTGGCAGGCAGCCTGGCAGCTCCAGCTTACCTAAGCTGCGAGGTAACAGAAGATATCCATCTACTAGGCACATGTTCCACCACTCATTTTCACTTGACATGCAGTTTGTGTCGCAGTATGTATGCCACCAACGATGCATGAGATCAAAGAGAATCCAACTCTTGAGACTGACCTTGCCCCTGAACTTCACTTGGATCTTACAATGTGAACTATTCGATATTTTATGCTACCCTGCATGGGAAGATATCAGTACATGTACAGCATCTGTTGACAACGTCCTTGGGCGAATGAGGTTGGCCTTCATACCGTCGATCTTCTTCATGATGGAAGTATCAACAGGAAGAAGTCAACAGTTTTCATATCATTCAGTTCACACAATTCGAGCTGCGCATTGTGCAATTTGACTCCAATGATCGAGTGATTGATTCAATCCTAGGTGTCTGAACAGGAGAGTGCATGGCCCAAGATCAATTTGATTCATAGCTTGGGATTTTACATGAAGGAAAAGGTAGTTTCAGATCATGCAATCTGACTCTAGTGATTCATAGAGCCCTATACATTTTGAGTGGTCAAGTGGAGGGCTCAAAATTTATACCTTTGCATATTGTGGCGACTTTCTTCTGCATATTGTGTTGCATAATTTCCCGCACTTTGTTTGTTGTTAATACCCAGTCTGTTGTCGCTTACTGACATGAATCATCCCATCGTTGTATCCATTCAGATTTTTTTTTTAAAAAAAAGAAAGCAAAGAGCCATCCATTCAAGAATCGTTTCCCATTCAATTGACTATGGATCTAAGCGCAATTTCAAACAATAAAGGCGGATCTCCTAGGTCCATGGAACCCCATCAACCAAATCTTCGATTGCATGTTATGCTATTGGAGATGCCAAATAATGAATCATTGAAAGAAGAATTTTCAACTATAGATTTCCTGTGGCTTCGAAGAGTAATTGTAGGCCAGCGTTCTATTTATGATGACCTACTGATCTCTTCATAGAACAACCCCTGGCCAAATATGGTCAAGTTAGTGGTATATCGCTTTTTACACATGCGCAACCTCTATCAGATCGACCAGGGTGATCAGATCAATGAACTTGTCGATTACATATTCAGAAACGGGGAATTGCCAAATAATCAAGATTGCAGAGCACAAATGATTCACCGATGCAAAAAATTGATCCTCTCAACTTCTCAATGGATATCAAATGGTATATTGATGTACAATGAAGAAAATCGTCTGGTCAAGAGCGCAGCTTTCCAAAACGCTTGGAACAATCAAATCATCATCATGCGAAACAGAATCAAGATCACCAACAAAGAAGTACCTGTGGTTGAAGTACCGAACGATATTCCTGCAAAGGTACTACGTTTTTCTTCTTCTTTTCAAATGTTGAACTCACCAATCCCATAGGTTTCGGAATCCAACAGTGTGATAACTGAGCTATCTGTCGCAGCCCCGAGCCCATTACTGGAAGGAAGGCAGAATAGCTCCGAAATGATCACCACTACCGAACCCCTCATCAAAGCTGACCCCGATGAACCTGTAGAGTTAGTTGAAGAGAATAAGACAGTGTCTCGAGTGAAGTTGGAACACCTTGACTCAGAACAAGCTCAACCGGTACTGGGAGATACTTCACTAAATGTTACAGATGAGACATATCATTTCTCTGCCTCTTACTGTCATGGTTTGCCCAATTTTGGGTCCGATATTCCTGATAGCCAGGTTCCACAACCGTTGGATACGACTTCAATTTCTCAGTCCAGTCCTTCACGAGATGGTTTCATGGCTGAAGTCATATTCTTAAAGGACTCGAAGCGTATCAACTACTCTTCCGAAGCTTTACTTTCACACCATACCCAAAAGTTCAAAGCCTGTGCACAGATAACTGTGCTCACCCCAAACAAAGTCGGTCGAAAAGTTGTTCGTGATGCAATGAGTCTGATCTGGGACAGTAATCATGACTTAGCCATCTTCTGGAAATCGGTGGCTTTGAGAACGTCTAGCATCATTAGAGTCACGTTCCCTGACGCCGCTTGGCTACCTGGAGTCACTGTTGACATTAATAGTGATGACGACCTTCTCAGAGCTAGACAGATGATCTGGGATAGCTTCTGGATATTCATTGCCAAGCAACCAGAAACCATTGTCTCTACTTTCAATATCAATGCAACCCCCGAAAGCCCCCAACTCTCGGTAGCACTCTCTAAGCGACAACGGAATAGTGTACCAAATGATGCTATATCTATTCACCAAGAGGACGGCTCAAGCCCTTGTTCCAACGATGCATATGATGTAGCATTCCGAAATTACATGGCTAAAATCAATAGCCAGAGGTCTCACGACAATCCTGTTCCATGTGAGGGAAGCCAAAGTATCGGCCAAGTTCCAATGTCACCAGAATCATTTCCGTTACTAAAAAGACCTGCCAAGCGACCGCGCTTGACAGAACAACAGCCCACAAGAACTCAAACAGAACTTGCAAATACCACATCAAATCCCATACCTGCGGAACAAAAGGTACAGCCGCAGATACCACAACAGCAGATGCCACAACACCAAACCCATCAGCAAGAACAGGGTCCGCACCTAATTCGATCACTTGCAGGGTCTCACATCCTGGGATCTGCGTATCATCCTCAGTCACAACGACTCATACAAGCCCAGTCTCTCCAGCCAAACAGCATTCGCACTCAACCACGGACCAGCCTTTCATCGACAGAGACAGCTGTCTTTCACCATGAGCCGAATAATTCATTCGCGTCATACGCACATCAAGCATCGCCGCGTACGAACTATTCTCCCCGTTCGCAGACTTTACCAGCGATGCCTCCTACTCTAATTACAACCCATGAAAGCATGCACTCTCAACGCATTCCTCAAATTCTCGCATCCACTCTTACGTCTTCGAACCAATATCCTCCTTGTACCCACGCATCAGCATCAATGGCTCCTCCTGGAACCATGGCTCGATCTCAACGTTCCCCATTTTCAGCACATGTTCCACCGTCAATGCCAGTACCAAGACTCAATCATCACACCCAGACTTTCAATCATCCGGCATTACCCCAATCCCCACCAATTACCCCTCAGTCTCACCGCTTTCCTACACATCCCCCCTCCAATGCAACTCCAACTCCAACTCCAACTCCAACTCCAACTCCAACTCCAACTCCAACTCCAACTCCAACTCCAACTCCAACTCCAACTCCAACTCCAACTCCAACTCCAACTCCAACTCCAACTCCAACCATCCAATTCCGCATCCAACTCCAACCCAACGGCCCCTTCAGCCCCCCCTATCCCAAATCCATCCTCGGCATCCCAGATAAACCCGCAATCACCACCTCCCAATTCTTCACCTCCTTCACCGCAAACACCAGTCCCATCCCCGGAAAAAATCCCGACTCCCTAACCTTCCGACTCAAAGACGCAGTGCCACTCCCAATTGCATATACCGTTTCTCGATCGGGAACAGTAGATGGAGTCGATGCTTTGGTAAAGCTGAGAGCAGATATCAAGAGAGAGTGTGAGAATGCGGGGAGATTGGTCATGGGATTGGAAAAATTCGAGATTTACGTTAGTATCACGGAAGAAGCAAGTAGGGAGAAGGAGGTGGAGCTGCCTGGGCAGGTGTTGGGGGAAGAGTGGTAATATTGCAAATAGAATGGTAGAGAAATAGTAGAGAAATGGCTACGGTGACTCGATGATCTTTCACAAAACGGTTCTCAGTTAATACTGCACGAAATTTTGACCACGAAATTTATTTGTACGAAGGAACATTGTAGTCGACGTGTTACAAAACTTCTATCTTGAGTGTTAATTTTACAGCTGATTTCTCGATTCCTTTTCAGACGACATACTTACAATACTTGATACCTCACATATGAAATCAAACCACAGCACGACACACACTAATATTCCCCCAATTCACTTCTCATCGCTCGTAACCTAAGATTCGATCACGATGAAATTGGATACACGACATCTATTAAGAATTCCCAACCTTCTATTAATCTATTAACTATGAATTATTAATTATAAACTTCCATGTATTCTGTTCCAAAAATTCGTCCATCATCCATCATAATCGGAATAATCTGTGGTTAACGCCACTATAAATACAAGTCTTCCATGATGTACTGACTAATTTATGTGATACAAGTGATGAAATAACATATCAGTTCAACTCCACATTAATGGTGCAGCTGAAATCACAGAAGCCATATCTGACCCATAACAACCATGACGGCTATAGGACCAATAGTCGAGATGACATAAACAACATTCGAAACAGCAGGTGTGATAAGGGCGAAGATACTGTTATCGATACCAGTTGACGCAGCCGACGCTTGGCTAGCAATCGGCGGACTGATACTTGCAGATGTTGCAGGAGAGGTGTTTTCGGCCGGTGTAGATTTGCTCGTGGTTGAAGGTTTGCTCCCTTTGTTACTTGACTGGGCATTACCCGTTGGTCTGGTAACACGTTAGTCTTTATAGCAATGAGAGAATATATGGACTTACTGAGAAGTGTTGCCTGAGAATAGAGAAGCAGCACTAGCCACTGCTCCGGATGCAGAAGCGGCGCCACCAGTACCAACACCAGCAGATCCAGCAGCAGCTCCCCCACTATCGGCTCCCCCATTACCAGCTCCTCCATTGCCAGCTCCTCCATTGCCAGCTCCTCCATTGCCAGCTCCTCCACTACCAGCTCCAGAGTTGGTGCTATTAGTGAAAGGGGGATTTGGTCTAGAAGGAGACGTTGCATTCGAGTTATCTGAGCCCGGTACAGGGTTCTTGGGTCCCGAGGATGTCGAGTTAGATGCAGGCGAGGGATTCTTCGGTCCCGATGACGTGGAGTTTGAACTTTCTGGAGATGGTAAGGAATTATTTGAACCTGATGCTGGTGGTAGACTTTGATTACCCGACCCAGTCGAGTTCGAAGGCTTTGATGCCGAGTCTGAGCATACTCTATGAGAATGTTAGATGAGAACAAGAAATTGTATGAGTGTATCCACATACGAGATAGTAACGGTGACAGTTTCAGCTCTAGCCACGAAAGCTCTAGCGATCAATTCATGTGTTGGAAGAGGAGGAGCTATTGTTATTGGAATGGAAGCTGCCGGAGAAGAGATGCATGCTGCACAATCACAAGACTCCCCATGAGAATCGTGGTGGACATTGTATGCTGCTGCTTTTTTCGACAATTCAAAAGCGGCCAATGATTGAAGATCAGTAGGAGTTGAGGCTAATTGGACTGATGTGCTCGAGATACTTGGTCTTGACTTTGCCATGGCAATAGCAAGTAGTCCTGTAGCATCACGAACAGTGTTGCTAACGCCAGTAGGATGTGTCACCAAGCTGTTGATATTGGCTAGAATAACGGACACCATATCAGATCTTCCTTGAAGAGCAAATGAGACTGTGTTTGTTCCTTGAGCAAGAATGGCAGAAACAGTGGTAGATCCTTCCTCCATAGCTTGCTTTTGGGATCGTATGTGGTCGATGATGAGAGATGTTGGAGTGTTCAAAGAGTAAGGCGAGCAATCATTCAATGTCGAAATCTCACTTCTAGCAGTGGATGGCGTAGAGATTGTTGTCCTATGAAGCAACGTCAGCTCGAGTAAAAGAATGACTGGTTGATACCTACTGCCAATTAAGACCGAGAGTGAAATCTCTTTTTCCCAAGCTAACACCATCCTTGCGGACAAATGCTTTTAACCCCTCTCCAATGAATACAAGTATGAGAACCGAAAAGGCAATAAGTGTAGCAACGACCATGGCAGGACGCCCGAATCGACGTGAAGGCATGATTTCAACGAAAAAAAGATTTTGTAAAGAACGTGAAATTGCTTGAAGCAAGTAAAACGGAGTTATGGCTGTATCAAAGACCAAAATTGCATCAATGGATGTGCAGAAGTGAAGGTTACAGAGACGAGGACCAAAATTTACCAAAATTGCATCGAGCGAAAGTTGTATTGAAGAAGTTTGAAGAGAAAAGAAGAAAGGAAGAGAAGGGAAGAGAGATAAGATGGCTTTTCTTATTGTTGGGGGATTTTGAATGGTTCTTTCCTCAGTGGCAGACTAGTGATGCCTCCATTTCCACAATTGTCAAGGAACTCCTTCCCCATCAGTATTTACTCCAAAGGATCCTTCCTACCTGCCATTCCAGTCTTCCTAATCGAAATTCTTCGGCTTGTTTGCGCCTTACTTCCATACTTCAAATCATGTAACAAATCAATCACAGTAGCAATGCAATCAAAATGAAGGCAATCAGTTCATTGAGACATAGCTATAGACCCTAGCTTTTAACCCCATATAAACCCATTTGCATAAACTAAAGAATTATTTTCACAAGCCCACTACACACCTAGTAACGCTTGCCGGCACGGAGAGAATCACCGAATTCCTCCAAAGGACTTCTGATGAGCTTGGTCTCCTTCCATAAGTTAGGAGTCAAGTATCCGTATGTGTTGGCAGCAGCGACGAAAGTAGCCTTCAAGGTGTTCTCAAGGGTCTTGGTCGAACCGGAGGAGGAGGTGTATGCATCTTCAACACCTGCGAGTTGAAGGAGACGCTTGACGGCTGGGGAAGCGACAAGACCGGTACCACGGGGAGCTGGGATAAGCTGGAGAAGAGAGAAAAATTAGTAAATAGATTAATCATGGTATTTTCAAGAAGTTACTTACTCTGACAGAGACGGATCCGCACTTTCCACTCTCCTTGGTTGGGAGGGAGTGAGGAGTACCCAAGTTGGTACCCCAGTAACCTCTTCTAATTGGGACAACGGACAACTTGGCGATGATGATAGCAGCACGGATGGCAGTTGCGACTTCCTTGGAGGTCTTGATACCGAGACCGACGTGTCCCTCAGAGTCACCGATGACAACGATGGCCTTGAATCTGGTACGTTGACCGGCACGGGTTTGTTTCTGGACAGGCTTGATCTGTGGACGAAATTCACATCAGCATCCGTATTTGCCAAATTACCATAATCGCATAAAAGCGATTTTTGTAAATTTCGCATACCTTCATGACCTCATCCTTCAACTTTGGCAAGAAGAAATCAACAATTTGGTACTCCTTGATTGGCAAAGAGTGGAGGTAGATCTCCTCCATGGAGTTGATCTTTCCATCCTTCACGAGACGGCCCAGCTTGGTAACTGGTTGCCATTCCTTTGCCTCGTCCTTGTTTCCTCCACGTCCGCGACCACGTCCACGTCCACGTCCGCGTCCGCGATCTCCTCCACGGCCTCTGTCGCCGAAACCTCCTCGTGAGCCGCCTCTTGGTGCGTCAGCCATATTGATATCGAATTGATCGTTAGGTGGTGGTTGGCAAGTCGGTGGGCGTTGAACGATTAGGAGATCAAGAACTTCGAAATTATTGATTAGAATTTGCAAGTGTGGGATATTTTTCGCTTAAGCAATTATTTAGTCACCCAAAAGTAGATTAGCGCTCTGATGAAAAAAGTCCATGAGTGCCTGATTGAAAGCACTTGTCAGGATCAGGCATTCTTAGAGGGGCAATCACGTGTGCTGTTCACTCCTTCCTTCAGGTGGAGGTGTGTTTCTACATCTCATCTAGTGTTTATTGAATGCAACCTTCTATTATATACATATTCTCTCACTCATTCACCTTGATGTAAATCTCTCCATCAATCAACATCGTCGAGTTTTTAACCACTTACCTACCCTCTTGTTCTCGAGAGAGATCATCCAATCGATTCATCTATCACAAGTACCTGCTTTCGAATGTGCAGGTATCTACATGCACAATGCTCAACGGAAATCCATCACTAAAAGAATCGGTCTCTTCTGAAATCTTAAGAAGCTGAAAAGAAATAACTTTGCTCGATATCAGACTACACAATAATATACACAGTCAAACTTGAGTATTGCTACCTCATATTTGCCACCTCGTACCAACCAGATTTAAACTCCATGGCACCATACTGAGTTCCAATTTCATAACTTGTCAGATACCAGTATTATCATTCAAAGAAAGGAGATTACCAAGTCCAATCATTCACTCCATTTCGCCTTGGTCGGACAGTTCCGTTTTGCTGCTTCCCACATCATAATTCATCAGAGTAAAGAGATGAAAGTTTCATCAACTTGGAAGGATGTCTAGTAACATCAATGAATTCCGTGTCATTGTACATTTTCGTACGCCATTTCCAAAATCATGTAGGTCCTCGTTACGCCCTCAAAATTAACTCCTATGATCCATCACTTACCAAGAAAATGTCGTTTCTCTGTACCGTGGGTTTCCGCTATCACCTTGTTTCAGTGTCAATTGTACCGCCAACCATCGTTCTTCAGAGTTCAAATGTAAGTATGAAATCGTCCATCTGGATGATTCTGGGATTGGTTGGTCATCTCCCTGGATACCTTCTCCCTCAATACTCGAAATCCATGCGCAGATCCTTGCTACGCTAATGGTGTCAAAGCAAAGCCCTTCTCGCCTCGCTTTAGACCAAAGCAGCGCTATGGCCTGACGCCGAATTCGTCGATCACGACATTTCACTGCAGTGATAACGAGGGGGAGGATTGTTCCCATGTCGAGAGTGAAGCGAGATGTGTTACTCGGGTCATCCGGACTAGAAAGTAAAATCTGAGCTTTGCATATAATCTCCGCAAAGAGATGGTTGTATTCGTCATATAGCATCTCTGTATGTGGAACACTTGATGCAACAAGTATCGTGGCGATATTATAATAGATGCTCAGCATATGTGTCCCATCGGCAGAAATACTTCCAGTGTGTGCTTCTTCGGCATGGACGGATTGGAAAGCTTTTCGCCATCGAAGTAGCTGTGTGGTGTAGTGATTATGAAGTCTGTTCCAATATGGCGTGGATAATTGCTCTGGTTCGGTTTGCGACTTTATGAGATACTTTGTATGGAATTGACCAATAGCGGCCATCAGGAAATCCCATACTTCTCGAGCTTCTTGGACACTATCAAATTCGTCTGGAATGTCCATGTCATCCTGAAGAAGATTTGGAACAGGGTATGGTGGTGGAATGAAAAGCCCTTGAACATCTAGACGGGCAAATAGGCGGCCCAAATCGTCGACTAGACTATCCTGGATCTCGGACAATGAATCGTGCGACAAGCGAGAACTTCCCCCTCTTCGAGCAATTCTCCAATCAGCTAACAATCGAGAACCGCCTCTGAGATGAGTCAAAGCACCTTCGTAGCTTCCCTGAAGAGATTCAAAGGTCATAAATAGTACGCACGCTGTAAGAGATGTTCTCAGATGTCTTCTGCCATCGGAAAGTATTATCCTTAACGAAGCAATGGCTCTACTGTATTCCCTTAGTGCGAAACGGTGGTGTTCATCTAAGTGATGATGATCAATTTGAGGAAATCCCGAAAGTGATAGTCGAGTTGGAGAAGATGTGACCTCCAACGACTTCGCCAAAGCTCCCAAGGCAATAGTCGCATATCTGATGGGCGCATCTTGGTGACAGAGTTGAGGAACCTTCTCTGTCCAAAAGGTAGGATCAAAAGAACCACAGATCTCGGCTGCTGTTTTGTCACAAAATCTTTGAAAATACCGCCGTTCGAGTTGATCACCATGTATAGCGACCGAAGGGGTATACGACATCACAGACATCGGTCGTGGATGGATAGGTACAAGAGCGTTTGCATTCTGTTTGGAGACATCTTCAATCTGCTCTGGAGCGTATCCGCCACACTCGCGACCGAGGTTTTGACACCTAATACATTGTGGTTTGGTTTCGTCGCATTTAACACGTCGCTGTCTACATTGTATTAGTCAGTTACGGATCTGATGATTGTCCGATGAAGATTTCCTAGTGGAGAAATCCCAATGGAGTGGATCCGCAACTCTGACTCGACTTACTTGCATGTTGAACAACCCGTCTTCGATCTCGGACCGCTTTTTCTGAGCCCTTGACTTCTCGATGTTTGTTCTGGAGAACCTTGATCAGGGGCAGAAAAATTATTGAGAAATTTATAAACGTTTGGATATGGAAGCCTCAGTGACATTGCTTTTGTCGTGAAGCCTGTACAATTGCCGCATTAATTTACCGACAGCCGGAAGAATACTCGTCGGGATTTCGTCAGGTTTTGTGTGGGTAGTATTGTAATTCTTCCTTCCACTCTTTGTGATATTTGCTTCAGAGTTCAAAAGGTTTTGTTTCTTGGAGTCTTTTGAATGAACTGGAAATTCTCGCAGTTATTGATAGGAGTCGGTCCGTTATTATTCACGAGAATAACGACAAGGGAAATCTCGTCTTGGACTGGTGACTCGGCCAACAACAGACACGGTTTTATTGTTTTCATGGGCAATTTACATTAGCGGGATAATGCGCAGGCTTCTGGTCAAGGGTAAATGGAGGTGAACGGTATAAGAAGTTTACCGACACCCAGATTCGTTATATTGTGCGGCATGTATCAGCAAGCTTCCAGTCACACTTAGCAAGCATTTATATATCTTAGTGGTCAATCCCCTCGTTTTTCAGTGCAGCTTGCAGCTCTGTACCCCTCTCTCAAATTGAAGAAAACGGCGAACTGACTATCGAATCAGGACATGGCATAACAAGGATTTGCGCCACTAAATGACCAATGACAGATGCCATGGGCAAGGTTTTGTGTGGGCGTGCCAAGACTTGTATCCAGGAAGGTGGAAGATGGACAGGATCCAACACGTGAGAATGTGCCTCTCTAGAAGCTTTCATAGAGCTCTAAACTTGGCTTATTCAATGTATTGTTATGCGAATCGGCGAGTGAGGAAGGAGTGTGGATCAAACGATAAACATTCATTGGTTACAACACGGTGCCGCCCCTCTTATACAGGAACTAGCGCTTATTAAGTCACTTTCTCACGGAGAACCTAACCGAAGAGCCGGAACATCAAAAATCCCCAAATCGTATGATGAATTTGAAAAGCGTGATACGTTCAAAACAAGAATATTCGCGAATAATGCCTGTTTTAGACATCATGTGGCTTGAGCCAAAACAAGGCTCTTTAAACCTTACCGTCGAGCCCATTTGGAACACCACAATCCCCCACGGAAAGCTGAGATCTTGTCTATCCCATGGGGACGCCACACTTCAGTGGAGACTACCTCCTCTCATCTTTAGGATTGTAACATGCATCTCGTGTGTTTTTTCAAAGAGACTTTAGAATTTCATTTGTTCCTGCGTTCTAGAAAGACCAGGAGCCATGGAAGTCTTCGCCAAAATCAGCCTTACCCGTCATCAATTTCTTCATAGCAATTGTCATCATCACGTTACCGCGACACATAACATATCAACCAAGGAAACGATGAATCTTCAATTTGGATAAAACGGGGTGAAGCATTTTCCTCACGTCACAAAAATTCGGTTCACAAAGGGTCCAATGGGAAAGTCTCCATCGGAAGGAGCGATGCTTGGAAAACCATGCAGATACTCAATTTCTGATGCCCGCAATCTGTAGAAGATCTACAGGCGTCTTTGTATACTCTCTACTAAGAGATATGACTGGGCTTAAAACTCGCTTCCATTCTCATGGAGTGTCTAAATGTGCTTGATGAGTGGCACAATCTCACTTAACTTGCAAGAAAATCTTATCCCAAGACTTTTGACTACGGCTGAATTTGCGACACTACATAATCTCTTTTGGTCTAGTGGACGATGATTTGATTATACGTGCGCTTCTAGAAGTGAACGCCCCTCGTTTGTGCATATCTCAGATCAGACTGCGAGTATTTTAAGGATGCCATGCATGATGCATAGTGGTATTCCAAATACCCACATGAATATCATGAACTTGATGCGATATAGAAGCCCTGAAATTCGAATTGGTGAACCACATCCTCGGGATCCAAACTTCATCATTCAAGCTCATTCATTATTTTGCGATGCAGTATCACCATTTGTCGGATTCGAGGCACAAAGTCTACATGCAGTGTTTGCTGCACAATTTTTCGAGATGTGCATTCATTCTTCAAGAGCCAATTGAAACCTCCCCCACCGTTTTGATAATCGGCAAACATGAAATTCAGCACTCTTTTCTGCTCAATATACTGCTGCATGGACTTGTACTACTCTGCATGTTGCACAAATACCATCGGGCCTTTTTAATAACGAATTGACGGTCTTGATATCATGGTTTTGATCTCCGATATCCCTCACACTCGCTTTACAATCCACTAGGCATATTTTCTTGTTGCTCGGCCCTACTTTCGCAGACCGCATCCATCTCGTACCTGTCAAAGATATGATAGGGAAGACATCCGCATTTTAAAGAAGCATAACAAGGCTTTAATATTGAAACGGGGTTACAAATT